ATGGAAAGATCTTTAATTTATGTTTAGCATCCTTAACTCATCTCTGGACTAGTAATTACTTAAGACTTAGGATTTCAGTTGGACAAATACCAACTTTTTTTGTGCCAAAGATGTTTATTTCAAAAGAAAGAAGCACTATCTGCCATACGCACAATAGCAATAAATACTTCAACAGATTGTTTCAGTTTCTTTATATATGTGCAGAGGAATAATATTGTAACTACACGTTGTGCAATTACAAGACAAAATAAAGACATTTCTATCCTTTATATCAAAAATTACATTATAGATTAATGGCTACAATATGCTGGTTTGTATTTGCCTACAGACTAGCAGAATCTCATTTTATTGGTGCTGAATTTGGCTGAGATTAATAAAGGAAAAACCAAAGGTTTGGGAGAGAGAGAGTACTGCCAGTTCTGTCAACTCAGCAGTATCGCAGCACTGTGCAGCTGGTCCCTTCCCTGACACTGGAAGGCTGGTTCTGCTGCAAATGTTGCCTTTTGAGCAAAACAAGAAACTGAAGCCTGATCATCCATAGTCATTAAAAATCTCCTTGTGCTATTTGCAAGAGTATGGATTTCAAGTCTTGGGCCAATTCCACTTTGGCTAATTACACTCTGCTTACCTATATATTTTCCTCTGCAATTCTAAATGGATATAATATTTTCCAATTAGTGCCTGAAATGGCTCTGCTTTGTAATTGTAATTGTGCACTATTAAAAAGCTGACACGTTCCACCCAAGAAATGTCTGCATCCTTGCAGGATGCTATGCCCTAAACACAGGGTAGCAGGGACTTCTGTGCACACCATTTGATGTAGAAGTAAAAATACCTGCAGAAGAATCTCAACCTCCTTACTGTATAACAAAACGCATTACTAAGACACCTGTATTTAAAACAAGATATTCACTACTGTTTGCATAGCATCAGGCAAATTAAAACACCTGGGAGTTCTAGCTAATGTACTTAGGCAGCTATACATCTACAAAGTCCCCTTGTTACCCATGTCTTCCTTAAAACAAACCTTAGTGATAAGATAAAATTAAGCTGACTGTACAACCCAACTCAATGGATATCACCCATGCATGCTGAAAAATTCTTTAGTCTGCACAGCTGCTGCTTTGTATCAGCATATAACATGTTTTTGTGTGTTTAAATAACATGGTAGAAATCTTAAAGAGCCACAGATTGAGCTTTCCCAAAACACTTCCCATATGATTATTTCATTAAGCAGCCAGAGACTCACAGCAACACAAATAATTTTGTATAGGAAAGCACTGCAGTGGTGGGGACCTGAATAAATGCAATCAAGCAGCAAGGTACTCCCTCCATGCAATTCAAACATACACCAGTTGTTGCAGAAGTTACTTGAGAGGATGCATTTTCCCCTGCCTTTGAAGTATTTAATAAAAAAAAGCATAAAAATAGCCCCAGTGCACTAACCCTGCCTCTTAAATCTTCTGTGCTTTGCTTGGATAACCGATGCCAGCTTGGCCAGCTTCTGCAGCAGTTTCTCAAGCCAACAGCACATCAATTTTGCTCAGCTCCAAGTCACAGGGTGTTCACAAACAAAGCACAGGACAGGGATTTGTCTCAGATATACTGGGTCTCAGCAGACAAACGGATGGGAATGATTTTCACATCAATTAGCCAGCGCAGAGAAAGAGGAGAACAAAGCCAAACAGAATGGATGTGTAACAATATTAACCTACACTTCTAGGCACGATGTTTGCAGCTGTAATGGCTGGATAGCAATGAGCGCCAGCCGTAACTTGTGCAAAGTGGTTTATTACTGGTAATTAAGAAGATATATATATATATATATAATGGCTGCATCCCCCTGTGATGGCAAAAACAGTGAATGGAAGGGCTGCTGTTGAAATTATACCGGTAAACTTCAGATTTGATTTGGAAATCAACCACTTTCAGAGCTGTGAAACAGGGAAGTTTTCCTAATGGGAGTAAGCTTGTACAACCAGAAGTAAGCAATCCTTCTTCAAACCCATTTTTTTCCCCCCCTGTTCTTTCCTTGGCAAGCTGGCACCAGTTTGGCACTTGCTGTCTCAAAAGCATGAGGATCAGGGACTAAGCGAGCATCATTTCAAATGCCTTTCATTAAACTTTTGGCAAGAGCTTAAATACTGCACACAGGTAACATGTTTGTTTACTGGGATTTCTCCAACAATTAAAAAAAAATTCTCTGTCTACAACCTCCACAGCCCTTGGCACAAATTACAAAAGCAACTCATCTATGCCTTTGAGCAGTTTCTGGTTTGTTAAAAGTTGAAAAAAATACCGTTCTCAAAAAGGCAGCAAGCAATGCACGCTACCAGGACGTGCCTGAGGAGACTTCACAGCCACAGTCCATTTCTTATTTCATTAGTCCTGCTGACATACATAAGAGAAACGGGTTGTTTTAGTCTGTACGACTTCTTCTAAGTGAATGCAAGCTATTCTGTTGAACTCTGGGCAATTTAGGTACAGTAAATGGAAGCTTGTACATGATTACTGTCATTAGCTTCTTTGTTTAATTCTAAATTGAAGTTTATTATATCCTAACTGTTAGCAGGTATGCTGGCTTGAATGCTGTACATTAAGATCTCTATTTCTTGCGGGGAGAAGACCACTTATGCTTTGAAAGTTGCCAAGTACATCTATCTAAACCCTAGAGACTTCTATTTCCCTTTCCAAAATCCTTTTGCTTCAAACAGGTTGGCTTGTCCCCATTTTACATTTTTATTCTTGATTTCTTTTCTCCTTTCACTAACTTATTTCAGGTTCACCCAAAACGAGGTGATACAATTAGATACGGTACTAATGCATCACATGGAAATAAAATCTAAACACCTTACCACCTCATTCAAGTTTTTATTGCACAAGGAAAGGCTGAGCTTAGCGTCTTTGCAGTTTAAGCAAAAGACTATTTGGTGCTTCAGTAGGTTTTGTTCCATAACAAGTTAACTCTTTGTATGTATCCCTGCTGCCATTTTAAATTTATATGAATTTAAATCAAAGGATTGACAGCGTTGAGTTATGTTCAGAGGGCTAGGAAAGGCATCTTTTGGATATGGCAGGACGTATTTATACAGTAACACTAAAATAGTTAATAAAAATGACAAGATTATGCTTGCACACACTTCACTACCAAAGGCTCGGTCTGGGTTATCTCCAGTCTAAAATGGGTTCTAAAACTTCAATCAACCTGCATGATATTGGAAAATAAGCTACCTCCAGACTGTGAAGAACATGTTTGGATACTGAACAACATTGGTAATGGCTTCAGCTCCTTAACATAACAGGAAATAATTATTTCCTTTCAGATTTTTATTTTTTTGGATGCTATTATTTTTCCCCCTGACCAGTCAGAGTCAATCATAAGGAAGCCAGAACTTGGAGGGGGGAAAAAAAAAGTTCTCACGTCCCTGTTTGAGCATTTGCTGGGGTAAGTGAAAATCACCCAGGCTGTGAGAATTTCATCTATGGGGGAATTCTGCACCAGTGGGAATCTTCCCATGAGCCCTTTGCAGGTAGGCAGGGTTTGCAGGTCCTATCTGCGCTGAAGCAATTCCACGCAGTCGTCATGTGCTAATACTCCTTAGGTCAGAAATAGATCTTCTCTTACATCAGAGCCTCATGGATGACTCCCAAAGAGGATGTCACCTGGCAGTTTTCAGATCTGGCTCTAAACACAAAAATATTTCAGCCATCTCCCACCTAATATTTTTTTTTTTTTTAAAAAACCCCAAAATTTCTTTAGCTGAAAACAAGCACATTTGTTGCTTGAATACAAAGGAAGGTACAAGCTTCTGAAGCCTGCAAACTATGAAAGAGCATCTCGCCAGCAGAAATGAAGCAATGCTAACATGATGTTATTATACACTTATTGCAAGTGTGTGATCCCAAAAATGAGCTTTTATTAATGACAGGACTCCAGCCATGTTCTGTGGGACTGCCCCGGACATTTACTTCTGCAACCTGTAATCAGCAGGAGGAGGGATGGAGCTCAGTAATGGCGCTGTTGCAGCGATTGTGTGGCACATGACAGTTTCAGTTCATTGAATTTATGATGTGAAATTCCAACCCTGATCGTGAACACCCTCCCTCTTCTCCTCTGAAAATTAATTCACATGAATTCCTGATTAATAATAAAAGGACCTGCCATCAGCATTCAGAGCCCCAGCCGGGGCTGTCATGGCTCAGAGGGCAGAAATCTGCTTAGAGCTACAGGAGAACCCAACTGAATTTGTAGCGTCTCAGTCTATGAATGTGTAAGCACTTCATCTGTTCACCAAAACACAATGTGCTGGAAAGCAGTGGGCAAAAGTAGCTGTACAGACGATGGACCACGAGCAGGGCTAGGTGGCAGCATGCAAACATCGAAACCAAGGCGAAAAAGCTGGTACAGCTACATTTCCTGAAGGATGAACAGGAAACTGTCCACGCCAGGTGTTTAGTTTCACCAAGAAAAGGATAAAGCCAATTCACAATTTTAGACACTTATCTTTTTCTGGACGTTTCTGACAATGCCTGCATTACCTTCCTATGGGGGAATGGTGTTTTGAGTCTGATGAGCAGAGGAAGAGTGGACAATGTCACTGGTTTTGTCAAGCTGGAAAGCCAGTGTCACTCATTTGCCCTCCCCCTGGGAACGATGAAAAGCTGATGGCATGGCAGAAATCCTACTTCACCCATGAACAAAATTCATCGGTCAAAAAAGCCATTTCCCTCCCTTCTTACTTCTATTTGACCACAGTTAGTGTATAAAGTTGGGAAAAAGTGATAATTCAGATCTTATTCTGCAAGTGGCTGGTGGCATTGCTGAAAATAACACAGAAACATTTCTGATACACTACAGCATCACAGTTAGTACATCCACACTATCAGAAATCCAGTAGAAAGCTGTTTTCAAATAGATTATCTCTGTCTCAATGGCCAAGTGTTTGTTGAACTGTTGTAGTACCTTGTTATAACAATCCTAACCAGAGAATTTGGAAAAGGATTGGCACTGAATTGATACACCAGTTCAAAGATTGGTGGTCTTTATCTTTTTCTCCATACCTCCTCATCTGTGACATTCACATCCACTTTTTTTGATCGAATGGCTTTGGTTACATAGTCAACGTTGTTTTCTCTGCAGTAATCAAAAATGTTCTTGTCCTCTTCCCTATTCAGGAAACAAAAGCAGAAGAAGCACCATGTTACTGCACAACACAAAGGCCACGTGCACATCATTCGCTCTAACTTTGCTACAGACATTTCAATAGCATCACTGGACTGAAACAGATGCCTAGCATTGCACATGCAGAATCATAGGGGGTTTTTTCCCCCCCAAGTGAGAGATAGAAGATCTTGCTTCCTAGAAAACAAAGGTTGTTTTTAACAATATTATGCCAGGGTAAAAGTCAGCTTACTCCTGTGAACTGGCACAGGAAGTCTATACAATTAACCAGCAAAAACCACGTTCAAGTCCTGGTATAAATTACTGCAGTCCCACAAGAGATAAAAGGCTAAAGCTGCTCTTCTCCCTGCTATATAAACTTACAGCAGCCACTCTGGGTCAGACCGAAGGCCCTTCTGATGCCATCCATCTCAGACAGTGGCCACTGACAGTGGTTTAGAGGAAAAAAAAGCAGAAGAAACAGGACACATACAAAGCAATCTATCCCCAGTTAAATGCTCCCAGCTTCAGAAATTCAGTGGCTTAAGGATTTCTGTGTGCAGATGAGCATATTTATCAGCCTTTTCCAGGTCCTTTTTTACTCTATTCTGCTCTTTAACCCATTCATACTCTCAGCCTCTCTAAAGGACAAGCTCTACAATTTAGCATTCTGTGTGTGAAGGGGTGAACAGTGTGCAAGTACTTTCTTTTGGAGTCTTTAAAACAGGTGCTTGCTATTATTGGGTACTCTTTGGTAAGTAATTGCCCAGGGATTTGTAAAATCTTTGGCATTTGTTTTGGAATCTGACCACAGGGCTTGTTTTTTATTCATTTACCAACCTGTAAGTTGCACTCCTGCACTCCTAACTGCACTCCTCCATTTCTGCTCAGAGCAGCAGGCTGGCGTTGCAGAGGGGACCAGGATGCCAGTATGTGCTCACTGAAGCCTGCTTGTGGCAGAAAGGTCAAGTTGTGGTGTCAGAGCTGCTTGAGTCCCACCTATAGCTTCCTCTGCAGCTAAAAGCAGTACCCTGGCTTCAGATACCTTAAAACTTCTGTTCTTACCAGCCAAACAAACCCTCTAATGAAGTTAAGATAGTTCATAGAAAGAGCTTTGTATGAGTGACTGGAGCTACAGTGCTTTGTGGCAGTTAAAAAAGCAAAAGCAAATATTGGGAATCGTTAGCAAAGGGACAGAGCAGAACAAGAACATTTTTATCTTGCTGTATAAATCTGCACTCACATATCTAATTATGGGAAGTTACTGACACCAGTACTGCCAAGAAAGTATAACTCTCCTACTGTCCATGCTGCTATGCCAGTGGAAAGTTACTTATTCCAACAGAGTGGATTTTTCTGTGGAAAGGGGGCTGTGCCATACTAGCAAGATGCACCTTTACAACAATACCTGTAGGACAAGAGGAACGGCCTCAAGTTGCACCAAGGACAGTTGAGATTGGATGTGAGGAAGAATTTCTTTGCTGAAAGGGTTCTGAGGCATTGGAAGGGGTTGCCCAGGGCAGTGGTGGAGTCCCCATCCCTGGAGGGATTGAAGAGTCGTGTAGACACAGTGCTGAGGGACATGGGTTAGCTGGGGACTCGTCAGTGTGAGGTTAATGATTGGACTTGATGATCTCAAAAGTCTTTTCCAATCTAGGTGATTCTGTGATTCTACAGATACACTAATACAACTGTGTTCTTAGTGAGTAGTAAAGAGGTCATTGGTTTTCTAGAAGTAAACCAAAAGCCGTCATACTATCATTTCTTTCTAGTTTCCAGATGAAAACTGTGGCTCAAATGAACCCATCAGTGTTGCTACAGGACTTGGCAGCTTCACAAGAATTAAACACAAAGTAGTTGCCTCTCATGACATCCCCAGTTTTCAATCACCTCAACTTAAAGATAGTCTGGATGGTTAGCAGAACTCAGACCTGCCAGCCTCAAGGGAAATTCCTCATAAAAACAGGAGGTTGCTGGAGCAGGTCAGACCCACTGGGGAGGTCATTCCGTTCCACGTGGACGTTTCAGGCAGGTGAGAACAGCCTCTGTAATGCCACGGGGCAGTTCTCCCACTCAGCTGCACTGCTCTTCAGCCTCGAAGGCTGAAGAATGACAAAGCAAGGACAAGTGAAATCTAAATGTTATTTGCATTTGAACAATGGGTTACAAAGAACAAGGGATGCTCTTCGACCTGCAGTCCCAACAAAAATAAAAATACCAACGTCACCAAGACCATGTGCCCTCCTCCCATCAGGACAGGCAGAGCTCCATGACACAACTTTGACTTCCAGGCTTATTAAGACACACTTGGCTTACTAAGTTACACACTATTCCTCAGACCTCAAGCATCTGTTTCCTTCCTCAGTGCCAGCAAAAGGTGGGAAAAAAGTGCTGATATTCAGCTTCTGCAGTAAAGTGCTGCTTTCTCTCAAGAATCCACTTCCTCTGACCTCTCTCTGACGTTGCTCCTTTAGTAGCACCGTTCTGCACATCACCCCTATTCTCTGTACACAAGCAGTCCTTCCTCATAGCTGACTTGCACCTTTCTGGCAAAGAGCTGGATGCTGCACAAGATTTCATGCTCCATGTATGGACCTAGGGACATACAGAAGTCTTCCAGTTTCTTAACCAGTCTCTCATGAACTCATTTGCTGGAGGTCTTTGTACATTACACAAGCTCCTAGGAAACAGATCACTACATGCCTTAGATGCAATTACTTTGAAATCTGGGGAAAAAAGAATCTCATGGTGGGATTGGAAAAGGCAAAAGCTTATACTGCTCGAGATGGAGCTTGACAGATTCATGATGGAGGTTATGAGACATGCCTGCCCCCACTAACAAGTGCTGATTTGATATGCTGGGAAGTCCCTGTAGTCCTACCTTGTTAGTCCAACATCTCAAACAGTCTTTGCTGCCATTTTGGGTGAAGCTGCTGTCCAGACAAGACTGTACAGTAACTTGCTTCCAGCAGCATTTCCCCCATTGCACAGCCACACACACTGCATTTATATGAG